CCATGTCATCTTTTTCTATAGACATGTCATAATTTTTCAATGACAAGTCATAGTCAAATAATCATTCTAACTAATTGTATTTCTCTTTTAATAGGAATGAGATCACAAGTGCACCAATGAATTTCTGCCACATATGAAAAGTTTTTCGTTTTTTAAACAAAATATTTGAAACATATTTGAAACTGCAACCTCCACACCACACTACTTAGATCCCTATATTTTCTCACGCTATTACACCCCACGTTCAAGATAAAACATGTCACGATTGCAAACTGTTTCATCTCCAATTTAAAGTCCCAACCAACTCTATTTCTCTCTTCGTTTCTTTGTTCTCTTTCTCATCTTTATCTTTTTCAGTTTCTCATCTCAATTTTGCAAAGAAGTCGATCCAGGTTTGTGACCACTCTTTATCGAGATTCATTTTCTCTTTATCTTCATCTCATATATAGTAATTATACTCTGTTTCAATATGTATGAGTCAGGTTGTAGATGAATATATTCCTCTGTTTCTTATCTACAAAAGAATGGGAAATTAGAGCTATTTTAATCCCAGACAAATCTTCGACATGGAAACTCTTTTCTTAAAATAAAAGGTACACAAACCTGAATTTAACCATTTAGCTTGTGCTAGCAGTGGTTTTGTTTTGGATACCAATTTATTTTTTTGACTTTAAAACGTCAGAGTGTCTTGCTAAATAGCAGAATACAAAACAAAATCATAAGCCGTAATCATATTTGTTTTATGAATAATGTTCATCTATCTTACTCTATTTTCTCATGATCCTATGGCAGATTTAGGAGCACGGTCTTCCATCAAGACCATCTTACATGATATAAAGCCGTACATTTGACCAAAGGTCTATGAAATTCGAATCAAGGTGACTATTTTTTTATAAGTTTAGTTGCTTTCTATATTTAAATTTGCAGTAGAACTCACAACACATGGACATTATTGTTGTGTAGTGGCAAGGTAAGAGGTGTTAGAGAAGAGACACGGGCGTAACCATCTATTTGAGTCAAAACCAAGAGAGATACGTTAGAAGGAGGTCAACATCCATGTTAAAACAAATTGATCTCGCCGCTCCTTAGATTAATCACCAGTAAACAGTAACCAGTACTCTCTTTTATCTCGGTGGTTTGCAACCTTAAGCCATTGTCTCTTAGTTTTACCCGACGTGTGAACTGTGAAGCACACTCAATTAGGTGGTGGACACAAAGGCCCAAAGCATATGATATGACTCATCGAAACTTTTGAGCACATTCAATGGACCAGGTGGCGTTAATCACAAAAGTTGCTTTAGAAACCTTTTACTCTTCTCATTAATTAACCGATAAATTCCAAAATAAAATAAAATACTACACAGTATGAGAGTTATACAACACTACCCCTGCGATAAGAAAGAACAGTAACAACACCTTGCTTCCTCCGGTGGCCGGCGCGTCGTCGCCGGCGCCGTGAGGCTTCCGTTACCGTTTTCTTAGTTTTCTTTTAGCTATCCTCTGACCTAAGCGGTGACCAGTGCGGGGGCCATGGAGATTAGGGCTTTGCGGCGGTGGTGGAATCTCAGATTCGAGTTTTGAAGCTTCGTCGCAGGCAGTTTCCTTCTCGTCGGAGGTTCCCTGGTGGCCGGAATAGCTTCTTCTCGTGGGTTCCAGTCCTCCTTACTCCCGTCCTTTCCTTCGTGGATGGTCTCGATGTGGATCTGCAAAGGCGTGAAGACCGGAACGGTGGTTTGTGTGAACAACGAGCAAGTGGCGTCGCGGTGGGGAGATGGTGGACCTGGTGATCGATGAGGTATGAGTCTCTGTTCTGCTCGTCTTTTGGTTGTCTCGATGGTTAACGCTTCGTTTGGCGATGGAGGATTAGCTTGGTCGGGTTTAGTTGTTGGGTCAAGGGATGTATACCTCTCGTGGATTGGTTTTAATTTAAGATTTTCCATGGTCAGGGTTATGTCTGCTGGTTTGTTTTTGATAGGATGGTTTTGACCTGCCTCGGTGTTGCCTCGGTTCTGGCTCTGCAATCGGATGGGTGTTGGTGGACTTCAATTCGTTTAGTCGTCTTGATACGTCCTCTTCGCCTATGCGCTTTAGAGTTAGCGTTTTAGTGATCGTGGATTTCTTATTGATTCGTTTGTTCAATCTTGTAGTTGGCCGTGGGTGTCGATGTACAGGTACGACACTGCGGTATGCCCCACTAATACGGGGACAAGCAAGCTCTGACGGATCTTTCAGCAATGGGTCGTTAAAATCCCAGCCTCGTCTAGTTGTAGGCTTTGGGCACTCGTTGTAATCTCTGTGGTTTCCCTGTCTCTCTTTTATGAGTTGAGTCTTTTGTAACCTTACCGAACTTTTCTATCAATAATATTTCCAGATGAGAAAAAAAAAAAAAGAGTTATACAACACTACACCAAAATTTAAGTTTTGATTATTATTTTTTGTTTATAAGTTTCGAAGGTTACAATACAGTATTTTATTGAATGTTTAAGCATTAACCAAAACAGCAATATTTTCTTCTTCATGTACCATCAAATTTCTTATAACATACAATATCCTGGCAAAACATGTTATATCCTCTAATTGGTAACGGTTTTGCGGGAAACAGAGTAAACCAGATCGAAACCTTGCTCATCTGTCGTGTTATTGCATTCCGCCAATTGTTGTGTCCTGCCTTTTAGAAAGGATCAAAATTTTGTTTATTTGAATTTTTTTACTGACATTTGGTTATTTCAATTTGAGAATTAAAGAGTTAAAAAAAAAACCGATTTTTGGTCTTGTTTGGTTAAAAAATGGTGAATTTAAGAGAGGTACCATGGTGACGAGGAGTGACTGATGCCAAGTCCATTGCAACTGAGTATCATTCCTTAAAATCTAGCGACATATTCCTGCGTTAACATTATAAGAATCTAAATATCTCAAAATACCGATAATGCGAAAGCAACTAAACTGATTTCGAATTCTGAAAGTAACATTTCATACCCGCAAAGTATATTTGTGAATCTCGTAAATACCGGTTAGATCATACTCAAAACGTAAAGCAGGGTCCATTAGCACTGCAAAGACTTTATTACCATTATAGGCTTCATTTATCTCTTGAAATTTCGAAGTAGCCACAGTATCACCATTGTTCTTATCAGGATGCCACTTCTGCATATGGATATATAATCTCAACAATCACTTCACTAATCAAGTTCCAATCTAAACCAAATTTACGAAATTTGGAGTTTTTTTAATTACTAACCAATGCAAGCTTCCGATAATTCAGTTTGATCATTTCCTAATTTGCATCATAATCAACTTGTAAGAATCTTATAGCAATCCTTCAAAAAACAGTAATTCGGACTCTCGTATAAATGGAGCACTCAATTTTTTTTTTAGAAATAATCAAATTCTTTAAAAAGACACAAACTTGCCAACATCCAACGAATTTCCAATATTTTCCTAGAAAAATCTCAAACTTTTTCAGCTCAAGAAGATGTTGAATAGAGTGAAGCTCAAACAACAAAGTAACCATCAGTGAT